GTGGAGGAGAATCGGACTTTTCCAATGGATTCATCCAGAGAAGAGTCCGCTGTTTCCTGCCAGGCCTTGTGCTGGGCCACAGAGAAACAGCTGTGAGGAAGGCCAACGTGAAGCCCACTCCCGCCGAGCACCTGCCAAGAGGGGTAGACTGACAATGACACTTAAACCTGTACACTGGATGGTTTCACACAGGGGTAAGTGCCGTCAAGAAATGAAGAGGGTGATGCCATTGAAAGTAGCTTAGAGAGGTGCTAACTTATTTTAGTTGGGGACAGGAGGGAGGCCAATCCAAAGAATGACGTTTTGGCTGAGATCCGAGGGATGCAAGGGAGCCAGCCCTACAAAGCCGAGTAGAGCATTCCAGCCACGGTGTCAAGTAAATGCAGACATTCTGATCTTGGAGTTCATCTGGTGTGTTCAAGCAATGACTGGTACCATGAGTGAAGGGGAGCAGGCGAGTCAAGGAGGTAAATCACATGGGCCAATGTGATTGGGGGCCACTCACATGGGCTTCCTAGGACATCCAGTCACCACTTGTTACTCCAAATGCAGTGTGATGGGAAGGCACCGGGGAGTGTTAAACAGGAGAATCATGGGATCTGATACTTTTTAAAAAAATTTTATAGTTTGCTATTTTGTTGGCTGCCCAACATCTTTTATTTTTGGGGGGAGGATATAATTCACATAGCACAAAATCCACTATTTTAAAGTGTGCAATCCAGTGATTTTTAGTATATTCACAAGGATGTACAACCATAACCACTAGATCTCATTTACTTTTTAAATTGATGGTTCTGGCTACTGGGAGGAGAATGGACTGCATGGAATGAGGTGAGGAAGCTCCTGCAGTGGTCCAGGTAAGACTGGGTGGTGGCTGGCCCAGGGCCGCGTAGTGATGGAGAGAAGCACGTGGTCCCGAGGCTTCCAGTTTTCCATCAGGCAACCTGATGTGGTGATAAGAGCACAATATGGGGCTAGACAACCTAGCTTTGGATCTGCCACTTACTACCTACCTAACCGTGGTCAAATCCCCTCATTGAGCTGAGCCTCGGTTTCCCAGTCTGAAAAATGGGAACATGAAAAACTACCTCATGTGTTTTTTGTGAAGACCAAACAAGATAAAATACACATATGTCCTTTCACAGTGCCCAGGATGTGGTGTGTGTGTCCATAAGTGTCGTTTTTCTTCTGTTTTAAGATCTCCCGTGTTGAATCTTCCTGTCTCCTTGACCCCTTCCCCCACCCACCCTCAGAAGGCAGCCCCATCCTGAGGTTGGCTCTCAAGAACTCTGCTCCGGCTTTCCCCTGTCGTTACCCAGAGTTAATTTCCCAAACCTGGAATAGAAGAACTACTTGGTCTTCCACCCACCAAAGGAAAACCACTTTTCTTGGAGATGGGAGAACTGTGCACAGTTCTAACTCTCTGTGGTCTTGGGCAAATCACAACCCTTCTGAGACTCAATTTCCCCATTTACAAAAGGGAGATGTTAACACCCGCCTTAAGAAGTGAAGATCAAGTGTGCCCTGGATATGAGATGCCATAGTAACCACAAGGGGCTGTACAAATGGAAAGAGTCATTTGTATTATTTCCTATCTGCAAGTATGGAGTGGTGTTGCCTCGTCTGTGCATGTCTGTGATCAGCAGTTAGCTATGCTTGGAGAAAAACTAAAATGACAGTCCTTATTTATAGGGTGACGACCACATGTCCTGGTTTGTCCAGGTCTGTTCTAGTTTATTCCTGCTGTCTCAGCATAATATTAATAGCTTCGCCTTTCATTGTCAAAAGTGGTCTGGTTTGGGCAATAAATTATTTGTTTACACAATTTATTCGCTTCATCACTTTTCCCACAGGTTGAATTAGACCTTTTCCTTTATTACTTCAGCTGAAATCCTGGAAGTGCCAGGTCCTGACAATTCAAGAGCGATTTTGGAAATCTTCAAGGGTGTTTATTATTATTATTATTATTATTATTATTATTATTATTATTATTATTATGGGAAGCATTTTTTCCAGCTTCTCTGCCTTTAGAACCTAGCCAGCTCAAGACGTGATTTTACTGTATGTGCCTAAGTATGTAATTTATGTTATGTATCTATATTAGGTTTCTACCTAATATTAATCAAAGCAAACATTTTTTTCTCTGTCCTCAGGTTGAAATAGAGGCAAATGGGGGGGGGGGCTGTGTACATTGGTCTCTCTCTGAAGCAGTGAAGAAGAGTGATATATTCATGAGTGAGATGAAAGGAAGAAAGCAAGATGTAGGACTCTGCTTTTTCGTCCCATTAGGATCAAAAGTCTAAAAGAGAAAGCAAACTTCCATGGATGCTCTTCGAGCAGGCAGTCCAGGTGATTTATTAGCTCTGCGTCAACGCTAATGTTGAGCCTGCAGCTCAAAGATAACCTGAATTCATCATAAATGCACAGGGCTTCCCACACGCCCTGGCAGAATATCGAGGTTGAGTGGCAAGTCTTGGGTAAACCTAGGATTTAGCATTTCCCTACCAGTGTCTGAGTTGAAATAATTTTATGAAATGGACTAATAGAATCCAGATTTAGAAAGCAAGGGAAAATGAAAACAGGAAGATTTGCTTCTGAGAGAATCCAAATCAAGTCATGGAATATGCCTCTGGGTGGTATTTGGCTAGAACTGATTTTGAAAATGTGAGTTTTTCGTGTCTGATGTAGTTTGGCTTCTAACTCTTGAATAGACTACTGTTACCTCAGCTGGTGTCATGGGTGAAATGTTCCATCCTGGGAAAGGGTAGTATTAGTGAGGAACGCTTTGGGCTGCAGTACAGGTCACCAACAAGATCGGCTTAAAGGAGAGGATTTTATTTTTATCACATAACAAGATATATGAGGCAGGAAGCTACTGACATTTGTTCAACAATGCCAGAGCCAATGTGTGAGTGATTATCCTGGCTTTTCCCTCGTGTTAGTTGCCTCATGTCATAAAACACTGCATCGACAGGCATTAAACCCATGTACAAGACAGAAGGAAGACACAGGAAGCCTTCCATAGGAAAATCCAGAATCCTTCCTCTCTAACCTCATTGGCCAGAACAGTGTCTCAAAACCACTCAATCTACAGGGAAGTTGAGGGAGTTAGCGTTTGGGGCCATTCTTAATGAAATTGGCATCCACTAGTAATGAAGAGAAGGGAGAATGAATGGTCCTAGTTGACGAAGAACATCCACAACAGGGGTAAATTTCAGTAATAATTTTATTACTTGAATGTTGTATTTTAGAAGTTCCGGATGTGAACGTGTGTTGACCTAGTGCTCACTATGTGCCCACTGTGTTGGTTGTTCAAAGGAAAATACATCAAAATATTGCACTTAAGGAATTTAAAATTAAGCTCTTAATTTTTTTGTGTGGCCATGTTACGTAGCACGGTGCTAGAAGCATAGTAGACCCTGGAAGCGTGTGACGAATTTATCCACAGGAGAGTTAGAAACAGAAGCATGGAACCCTTGGCTATTGAGTCCTGTGGTGTAAATCCTCACCAATCAAAGCATGGTCCACAGGGCAGCATCACCTGGGAGAGTGTTAGAAATGCAGTCTCTCAGGCCCCACTCCAGACCCACTGAATCAGAATTCACCGTTTAACAAAATCCTCCGGGGGTTGGTATACGCATTAGATATTGAGAAGCTCTGGTGTTACAGTAATGCTTGGAGCAGCTTGATCACATTTGCAGAAATAGGAATACAGACTTGGGCAAGAACAAGGGTAGATTTTCCCATGGTACAGGGGAATGAGCACATGCTAAGGAGTCATTTGTCTATGATTTAAATCTAGGTCTCTCCATTTCCTAGTTGGGTGATTTTCACCAACTACCTAGTCTCTGATGCTCCATTACCTCTCCTGAAAATTATTGGGATGGTTGTTGCTATTTCCCACAGGGAGGGTGTAAGAGACAGGGCATCCGAAGTGTTGAGCACCTTGCACGGTATGTTGTGGGAACTCAAGCAATGCAAATTTCCTTTCTAAGACTATTCGAAATTAGAACTGTTGTGCAACCATCAGGATCGCGGTTGCTAGGGACTGGGGGAAAGAGCTAAAGAGCCTTATGACTGGGAGCCATCACACAAAGCACGAATGTGGCCTGGAACGTGGCAGAGAATTGGGGTGGACTTCGGAAGTCAAAGGAAAGGCTTAAAGGCCTCTGCAGAGACCCACCTATCTAAGTGCATTCGTTTCCTCGGGCCACCAGAACAAAGTGCCACAAACCAGGTGGCTTAAAACAACAAAACTTTATTCTCACATAGTTCTGGAGGCTAAAAGTCTGAAATCAAGCTGTGGGCAGGACCGTGCTCTCTCTGACGGCTCTAGGGAGAACCCTCCTCACCTCTTCCAGCTCCTAGTGCTTACTGCCAATCCTTGGCTTGTAGATGCTTCACTCCAGTCACATGGCCATCTGCTCCCTGTGTGTCTTCACATCATCTCCCGCTGTGCACGCCTGTCTCTGTATCCAGATTTCCCCTTTTTATAAAGAAACCAGTCATATTGGATTAGGGACACCCTAATGACCTCATTTTAACTTGATTATCTTTATGAAGACCCTATTTTTAAATAAGGTCACATTCTGAAGTAGTGGGGTTAGGACTTCAGCATATCCTTTTTTGAGGGGGGCCAAAATTCCACCCATAATACTGGGCAAGCGTTGTTGGTGAGAAGTGGATGTAATTCTGGAGGGGGTGGGAGTGGTTGAAACTCTGGGGAACAACCTAATGTATATATGGCCATGGCAAAATGTAAAAAAAAAAAGAAAGAAAAAGATAGGTTTGGAAACAAGCAGTAAAATATAGTGTTTTCTTTCCAAACACTAGCGTGGGTATGACTTTCAGGAATTATCTTCCCATTGCTCTGGTGCTGTGGATTGGGATCAATTCTCATCTCTCTGGTTCTTGTAGAAACTTTCAAAACAATGTCGCAGGAACCTTCCTGAGTGAGTGGCAAGGAGACACATTGTAAGAAAATTCCTGTGACTTAATAGGGGGAGAGGTTGGAGGGTTGTTGTGTATTTTTTTTTTTTCCCTCTCTTTTTTCTCTTTCTGCCTGTGGTGACAGCAGCAGCTGTCTCCTTCTCAACAGTGACAGGCTGCTAAAATGGAAGATGAATTTCGGCTGGGCGTGGGTGTGATTTCTCTCTTCTCTATCGGGGGCTTCTTCTTGGAAGGTATGGAGCTGTTTTTATCCTGGCCTGGGAAGCTAAAGAAGCAAGTGTCAGTGTGCAAATGAGGATTTTGCAGCCTCCAGGGGCACCTCCTGCTGGGAGGCCTGGAAGGGGGCCAGTGTGAATGCTGATTGGGTCTCCCCAGGGGAGGCAGCCTTGGGGAGAAGCCTGGAGGGGTGTTCAGTCCTGTCACCTGTAAACAGATGAGCTAGATCCAACACGGCCCTGAGGCGGAGAAACAAACATTATTGACACAGCTGGCTTTCTGGATGGAAGGTGAGTGATCAGACCCCATCCTGCCTTTCCCAGAGCCAGCAGCTCTTCTGCACTGGAGCATTCTGTGAAAGATGCCAAATATGTAGGTTGATATATTTACCAGCTCCCTCCCTGCAAGTTTCCTTGTAGGAGATTGTGGCATATCCTTAGTGTTAATGCATTCAGCCTACGGCTTCTCTCTACACTACCATATTTTGCCCTGGAAGGATGCTGTATTTGCCCCCTTACTCAGTATATTTAGCAGATCAGACGCTCTTAGGAGTTCCAGCCCGTGTTTGCTGACTAGCCATCACCACCTGGGAGCTGCCCCACAGGCACCTTGACACGACATTCAAAATTAAACCCATCAGCTCTCTTCCAAACCTGCTGCTATACCAAAACTCAAGAGAAGGGCAACACTTAGCCAGGCCATCCTCCAAACCCTTTCATCTTTGACTCTCCCTCCTCCTCACCGAAGTTGTGAGGTCAAGTTGACTTTTAAGTGTGTTCTGAGTCGTCCTCCTCCTCCTGCTGCCCTTGGCCTGGTTGAGTCCCTCGTCAACAATCTCCTTGGAAAATCTGCACTAGCAGCATCTTTCTTGACATTTTCACCCCACATCCAGAAAGATTTTCATGAATCACAAGTATGATCATGATTGCACTCCCTCTTCCTATTTAAAATCCTTTGTCAGGAAGGAAAAACTTTTCTTCTACCCTCTTATGTTATGTTATTGGGACCTGCAAATTAAACTGACGAAAGACAGATTAACAGGAGAAAAGACAAACTTTATTTATGTATGTATGCAGGAATTTACAGAAAATGTGGCTCAAAGAAGTGACTGGAATTTGGGGCTTGTGTACCATCTTAATAGGAGAAGGGGTGGGAAGGGCATTTACAGAGAAAAGGCACTTATGGAGAAAGGAATGACTTTTAGGAAAGATAAATGGGCCCTTAGGAGAATAGATGGAAGGTATGATAGTTTTGTGACAATGTTTGTTTATGCAATTTCTCATCCCAATGTTGACTTGTAGTCTCTGGTAATAGGAATCAATCTTCGCCCAGTACAGGAAGCCTCCCTTGAAGGGGAATTTATGGCAGCTGAATTCTTTTAGAAGTCTCTGCTTTTAGGTAGATGAGGGGGGTGCGGGGTTGGGAACAGTTCAGACAAAGCCTTTTTCTGCATCTTTTGATTCTCAAATGTCCTCAGCTCAAAATAATTTTTAATGCCACAGTGGTATATTCTGGATGCCTTCACCTTCAATGGCTCCCTGTTATCTGCAAGATAAATGCTCAGCTCCCTAACAGGACATATCAAGCTTTTTAGAATCTGGCCCCTATCTCCCTGACTTCATCTCACAGAATTCCTTTCCCTTCTTCTTTGTCTGCTTCTCATTCTTTTCTTTCAAGAGTCAGCTAAGGGGATACTTGTGGAGGGAGACTTCCAGACACCCCCAGGCTGGGATAGGTACCTCTCCCAGAACTACCCCACGATTACCCTTATCCTCAACTTTGACCATAGTGGACTGAAAATAAATTTTCTTGTCTGTCAGATAATAGTAAAAATAAGAACTACATTTTTTGAGTGTTCACTATGTTCTAGGCACTTTTCAGTGTTTCCATGAAGTAATTTAAAACTCACAACTGTCTGAGACAGGTACTAGATTGTGAGCTCCTTGAAAGAAAGAACTGTTTCTTTTGCAATTATGTATCCTCCATGGTTAATTCTATACCAGACACATAGTAGGTGCTCAGTAAATATTTTCCTTAATAGATGAGTGAACAGATGGAGAGATAAGTAAATTGTTCAGTATAATATGGTGCCCCTCTGTTCATATTGCTCAATAAAATTATTCATTTGTCGCTTTGAGGCCTGAATATTTTGGGTTCTTGAAAAGAAAAAGCCTACTAGTTGAAAAATCATGTGAACTTGATTTTGGTAAATTCAAAAAGTTTACTCAGAGGCAGAACCGCCTGGGTCTTAACTAAATGTATGGCAAGTTAATGGGAGCCCCCTCTGGCTAATTGCAGTACCTTTGATTTTGTCAACATTATTTTGCATGAACAGAGGTGTTCTCATCAAATGCAGGTTATTCACTGTTGAGGGAACTGAGCACAGTCCCGCTGGGTTTTGTGTTGTTATTGTTTTTCACTTCTGTGGGAACTCGAGCATGCTTCTTAACTTCTTAACTTCTCTGAGTCTGAGCAAGATCTCAAGTTCTTGGGCAAGGAAGACACTGCAAGACATAGGGCCGTGGGAGGTGAGTTTGTAGTCTTCTCATGGGAAATGAATGGATAGGAATGATGGTGTAATCTACTGCACCTAATATTAAAGTCTCCCATAAAACCACTGATAATGGGGTTGGGGAAAAAGGAACTCCCTTCTAGTATCATGGTAGGCCAAGGTTTCGGGACCAGTCAGCATGATCAAGGGGAGAAAACTGACATTTATTGAACACCTACTGTGTGCCAGACTCTGGGCTAGGGACTTTGGGATATTTTATGTCATTTAAAAAATCACTTATTTATTGAGTCCCCATTACATGCCAGGCACTTGTGTACAGATTGTTTTGTAACCGTTCAGACAAATACAGAATGTATATAAAATTGGTAAATGCTACAGGCTTGAATGGTTAGGAGGAGGCCTTCTTCTCTTAGCAGGGTTGATGCCTTGTGATGAGAGAGAAATCTCAGAACACAGAATGGGATTAGCCAGACTCCACACAAGAACAAAACACGTGCATGGTGGCAGAGGTATGGAGAGGCCAGGGGGCCCAGCAATTGTGGGGAGGGGATGTTTATTGTAACCCAAAGGTACAAAAAGATGTGGAAGGACCACCAAATCTAAGAGAGAAGAAGTGAGGAAACAGAGATGAACTGTGGCTTCCTCCTCAGACTGCTGGCAAAGCGTCAGCTGCCACCAGCAGAGCCAACATGCCAGAGATGTCCTCAGCCCAGGGCCCACTGACCTGAGAGGTATCACCCTGCAGTGGGTTCAGGATCCACAAAGCACCAGTCAATCGGGGCCCCTGTATTAGTCTGCTAGGGCTGCCGTAACAAGATGCCACACATTAGGAGGCTTAAACAACAGAAATTAATGTTCTCACCGTTCTGGAGCCTGGAAGTCCAAGATCAAGGTATCAGAAGGTTTGGTTTCTCCTGAGGCCTCTCTCCTTGGCTTGCAGATGGCCACCTTCTCTCTGTGTCTCCACATGGTCTTTCCTCTGTGTACACAAGCTCCTGGTGTCCCTTTTTATGTCCAAATTTCCTCTTTTTACAAGTACACCAGTCAGATTAGATTAAGGCCCAGACTAATGGCCTCATTTTATCTTAGTCATCTCTTTAAGACCCAATCTCCAAACACAGTCACATTCTGAAGTACTGGGGATTAGGGCTTCAACATGTGAATTTGAAGAGGATGCAATTCAGCCCATAACATGCCCCAAACAGCTCTATCCCCAATGGTAAAAATGGGATCAAAGTCAAGTGAAGACAGAGGGGAAAAAAGAATAACATTCTCTTGGGAAGTCTAAGAAAGGCTTCACAGAGGAGGTGACAGTTGAGCTAAATTTTGAATTTATGGTTAAATTTTCGATAAGCAAAGAATGGGAACAGGGGACTGGAACAGAGAGAACAGCATGTACAAAGTCACAGCACTTTGAAAATATCTCGGAAGTGAGAGTCCAGTGTGACTGGAGCGACTGGTCCATGGGAAGTTGTGGACGAAGAAGGGTCAGAGGATGTTGCGGTCTGCTGGTGAAGGGCCTTGTGCGTCCTTGGTTCTGAGTCAAGCTATAAGGACTATGGATCCTTCTCAGTGGAAGAAATAAGGACCATAAATGGAGCTGGTGGGAGTGAGATACATATAAGGACTTGATTATATACTGACTCATGTGTGCGACCATGGACAAGTGACTTAACCTCTCTGAGACTCAGTTCTGTCTTCTGAAAACCAAAGTCAGTGATACTTTCCTCTAGGATGCTGTGATGGTTTGATAGGGTAATGGAGTTGAAATTCTCAAAACCCTAGTATAAATGTTAGTTACTTTTATTTTTATTGCTCAGAGAGTGTTGCCAAAATGTGGGCACAGAGTGATATCCTCCTCACCTAGATGATATTCATTGATTGGTCTTGGCGGGATCTACAAGGAAAGCTGTTTCCCTCTGCTCGGTTGTAGACTGCAGCTCCAGGAGCTCATTGATACTTGACACCCTGCTGCTTTCCTAGGGTGACCTTGCACTGGCCTCAATCTGCCTCTCTTTACACTTCTGCAAAATGGTGCAGTCCTTAATAGCTGCAATGCATGTTTATTTTTAAGAACATCATGCCTAGTGTGTAAGAGCGTGGCATTCTGGCTCTGTATTTCTTGGAAGCTATTCCAACTGGGCCTTGGCCACTTGTCAATTCCTTAGTTTATTTTAGATATACTACTAAACCACGATCCCCTAACCTGCCTCTACACTCCTACACACATACACACACACGCCCTTTTCCACCAATAATGGATGAAAACACTCCATAGTATAGCATTTAATTTGCATGTGTACGTTATCACCACTGCAGTCTCAAAATCCTCCATGGCTCCTTCTAGCATAGGAACACAGACTCTCAGGGTAGGAAGCAGCCTTCAAGATCGTTTGTTCCACGCCCCCATGTGACAGTTGAATCTCCTTGCTGACATGGGGTGAGGGGAAATGCGTTAGTGCCAGAGGCAGCCAATGCTCCCTGAGGACAGCGCTGGTTCTAAGCTCCTGGTTCCCTGCAAGTCCTTTAGGCTGTTAGCCTGGGCTCTGTAACCAGTGGTGTGCTGGTAAATATTTAATAACTTCTCTCAATGAAAAGCCCTGATTTGTAGCATTTGCCGCTTTCTGTGGTGTAAATACTCCCACCGTGGCCAATTTCAAGCCACCCGTGTACAGTGACTGATATCAGAGTTGGGAAGAGGTGCTCATAATTGGCTCTTGCGAGGCCATATGAACAGGCTCCAGGACATCAGTGTCACCCACTCGGCTTCACATACAAGCAGAGTAAAGATCTCTTTTATTGTTGCCCGGCCCACTGACCCCATAAGATGTTAACCACAACCCTGCTCAGAACAAGCCTAACACATTCTCTTTAGCTTATAGGAAACCACAACAAGGGGAAGGGGGAGATGGCTGAGACATATAGTCAAAACCAGTTAAAACCAGTTGAAAGCAACATGGCAGTCTGACTTGACCTGACATAGACCCCACAGCTCATTATATGCTCACTGTAATATATTACCATATTATGGAACACACCTGCTGGCACCATGACGGTTTACAACTGCCATGTTAATGGCAGGGTATAACCACATAAGGAAAGGAAAGAGATGGCACCCTTGTTCCCCAGAAAAGCGCGCCAAGTTCCCTGAATACCTAGGAATATTCCTCCCCTTCTTTACCTTGACCCCTTATAACTGCTGCTTAATCACTCCAACAGCTGAGAAGTTGATGTGTGAACTTAGTTCCCCTTTCTCCACTCTTTGGCCATTGAATAAAGCTTGTGCTGTTGAACGCTCAGCTTCGGTTTCATTTCAAATCTGCAACACTGAACAGGAAAGAACCTCCCGAGGAAGGGATGGATTGTGGGTACGAGGCCCACCTGTGGGCCCCTCCTCAGAGCTCCTCCGAGTGTGGGTCAGAGTCCCACCAGAGTGAGGTAAAATTGGTAACAATATCATCCCAGGTCTTCATCCTGATGCCCATGTGCTCACTCGCCCTGTCTTCCCTATCCTAAGTTGCACCTGTTCCTACTTGCTTCTGATGAGTTTTTAGCAGAACTTGAGGCTCTGCTCTGCCTTCCCAGCCACAATTTCCCTCCCACTCCTGGAAGACGATTCCAGCGATCTTTCTAGATTGACTACCTGACCTCCCTGGAATACTTTCAACTCTGGCTGAGATCTCAGTGCCCTCTACCTCCACGGAGGGACTCAGCGCTAGCTACTCTTGTATTCATCTCAT